AAAAAAAAAAACTCAAAATGACGTTTAATTTGGAAATGTAAAAAAGAAAGAAAAAAAGGTGCATTAAAACGATTGTATGCATGAACTGCATGTGTTTTTGTGTGTTTTTAAATAAATTCATTTCAAGTTTCTAATGAAATTGAGTGTCATGTCACTGACCCATCTAACATTTGCTCTTGGTGTTAACGTGCGTTTGGAAATCAGTTAGAAATCTAAAGCCAATTTGTGGACTATTTGTGGAAAAGAAGGATGCTAAATGCTATTAACAACAACAGGCTGTTATGGTTATTGTTATGGAAGTGTTATTACCATCTCCATGGTGAAGGTCCACATCCACATAGAGAACTCTCTCATACTTCTCGCGCAGTTTGAGGATTCCAAGAACAGCGTCATTCAAATAACAGAACCCAGATGCCTCGTCCCTTATATAACGACACATATTCAATCAGCTGCTCCAGTGACCCACTGAACAATGTCCGACACATACATAAACATTCATCTACAATAAACATACTTTATGAAAACTCAGCTTGTTTAACAAGCTTCCGCAAACAAATTGTAACATCAAAATTTGAACTTGGTTTAAACCATAAACCATGCAGATCTTCTTAGTACTTATGCCAAAGATGCCACTGGCATCTCAATGATTGATGTGGACGTGAAACACAAGAGGGTGGGGACAAGGCCTGTTGTGCCGTATTACTTCTTGGCGTGATGCCACCCTCCGGCCCAGTTGATGGCCACATCACTCTTTCCATCAAGGAGATTCTGGGCAGCAGTCAGAGTGGCTCCTCCAACAGCAGCCGCGTAATCAAAAATACCCTCCACCACCGGACAGTCATAACCTGAAAAAAGAGAGCGACAAGTGGGAGGTTTGATAACACAGAGGGACAATGGGATGGGGTGTACAGAGGAAAGTGAGAGGAAAGATATGGAGAGGGAGAGTGAGAAAGAACAATAAACACTGAGTTACATTAAAAAGATTCTTTTAGTCAGTGCCGATAGCCTTGTGGGCAGTGTGCCAACATATAGCGCCATTGCGCTTTGGGTGTCCCGAGTTCGAGTCCCGGCTCGTGGACCTTTTCCAACCGTACGAAGTGTCAGTTTGTCAGGCATTTAAATTACACATGGCCGTGATCCAGTACAAAAAATGAAACACTGATTGTAATAACTGGAAAGTCTGAGAAAGATTAAAGTATAATACTGTCCTCTGCTGTAAGCAAGAGGGAACTGCCTGCACTGCATGCAACACAAGGGACACTATAAGCTTGGCTGACACACTAATGGCCAAAAGTGTATATGGACACCTAATTCTAATTCCAAGGGTTTTAAACAGGGCTCTGGGGACGAATGGGGGAGCTAGGTGGTCTGTGAACATTTTTTTAAACAATTTAAAGGGCTGCCATATTTAACATGTTAACTTACGATATAAATTAAACCATTTTACATCAATTAAATGCTTTCTGAAAATATACATTTAAATGCGATTGTCTATTAAATGCTAGTTTTTAACAGGAAGAAATACAAAAAACAAATAGGAACAACAGTGAGATGTACAGTAGGTGCCCCCCTACATATTTTTGCTGGTACTTTTGTTGTAATGATGACAAAACTGCTTGCTTTCAAACATCTTATTTAACAGAGCAACTAGGATATTGACAGATATTAAAATAGGAGTGTTAAAAGAATAAAATATTTATTTGGATTTACATAAATTCAATTGAATTTTTATTTGTCCCCTCAAGAACTAAATAAATAAATATTTTATTCTTTTAGCACTCCTATTTTAATATCTGTCAATATCCTAGTTGCTCTGTTAAATAAGATGTTCGAAAGCAAGCAGTTTTGTCATCATCACAACTATATTAAACAAAACATAGCTAATGCACGTGTGTCAGAAGAGGAGCAGGTTCCTGCAACCAGAATCAACATCTTCCAAGAGGAATGGAAGCTGCTGGAAAAGGAAGTCCTTATTTATACTCATGATTACTGTACAAACTTTTGGCCATGTACTAGTACAGTAATCACGGGCCTAATCATCTGAATTCAGGTCTATTAAACACAAGTCTCACCCAGTCCAAAGTCAACAGACTGAGGATCATCATTGTCCCCGTCCTGGCTGATCTTGTGCAGGTGCTGTAGATAAGAGTCTGTGTGAAACACGGCCATCTCCTCTATTGAAGCCACATGAGGCTTCACCACCCTTAACACACACACATCCGTTAACATTATTTACATACTAGAAAATACATATTTCAACACTGAGAAATTGTCTATTAGACATAATCTTGACACACCTCATGTATTTTAATAAGCCATACGCCTCAATCAATGAATGCACCATACTCGCCTGTGAGAGAAAGAGAGAAGTGAAGAAAACCAACCATATAACGTTACTCATTTAACTTTTTACACGTTATGCATTCAAACAATTACAGTAATACTGTGTAGTACCCCGGCACTGTGATGGGTTCAGAAAATACGTTCAGGTGTGTTTCATATATTCCATGATAGTCACTGAATAACACATTCATATAGATTGGTATTTGAATGATACTCCAAAAGAATCCCACGGTAATTTACTATGCTAGATGTCCATAACACAGTACGTTACTTGTCCATTAGTACCAAGCTAGCTAGAGCAAACGCGATTCCCTCTCACGTTCATGTCTCTATTATAATATTCACTATGAATGATGAATCCCACTATGCGTGTTGTGTTTGGGAGTGTGTGAAGTAACGTGCAGCTCTTCTCACCCGGTTTGGCACTTTAGACAGCGAGTCGCATGTCTGGATGTACTCCGGACTGTAAACATACACCACGCTACGATTTCTGCTTTTATCATAATTACTCTCGCTTTTATCACTCATTTAAAATCAAACTATTAAAATCAAAGCACCTCATAAATCGATACAGAGCCTTTCGGTGCACTCTGGCCGAACGTTACAGCAACAAACGTCCGTTATTTCAAAATAAATCAGGCCTATAACTTGGTTCTTGTTGAAGAGAGTTCTGTTCTATTCGTGGCGTTTTGGCTTCTCCTTTCTGGTGGGAAACAGCAACAACTCACAAATGTCTGGGTAATTCAATAAGTAAAATACTTTATTTCAATTGTTTTTATTTTAAATTGAAGTTGTAATTTATTACATTCTAAGCAAAATAAATAAAAGTTACTATCTCATAAAGGCTTCTTCAAGTACATGCATACATCTATACTGGCTTGTAACAGAGCTGTAAAGACCACAAGTGCAAGTCTAAAACACAACGAATGTTATGAAACTAAGTACATAATAACTAGTAGCAATAACTAGTCACCTGTCCATTAGTTGTAGATTATAAACAAAGATACAGTACACTACGCAGTACAGTTATTCTTTCATGTTGGCAAACAAAAACCAAAGAACAAAACTGAGTTTCATGCTTAATAGATCTTAGTCAGGATGGACACTATATCGAATTTTACGCACATTAAAACAAGGACATACTTAGTTTTGACAAGCACTGTATAATGGTTCTAAAGACCACATTTTCACCTTGTTGTTAAACAACAGGGCAATACATTGAACACACTGTATTTCCATTCCTCACAGACTTGTTTTCACTCCTGTCAAAAATTAAATATGGAGCTACACTGACGGAAAACCTATATTAGGACTACTGAATGACAACACCATCAAACTGTGAACTACCAAAGCATTTGTTCAACAAGTTTATTCAATCTTGTTCAAAACAGTTGCAGATTTTGCCTTCACACTCAAACTCACACAAACACCTAAATAACTGCTCTAAAATAGTGGTCTCTTCCTCTGTACAATAAAAACGATACTATTTAAAAACTTCATGGTATCACTGTACAGTACAGGCGCCACTAGGCAGGAAGTCCTGGACGTAGGTAGCCACAGCTTTAGAGAGGTAAGTCATGGTGCCAAAGCGACCGCTGGGTGCAGTATCATATAGGAGCCGGCAGATTCCCGTAGAGAGATCCTTTTCTAAAATACTGTCCTCTGCACCAAGATCCTTCTGCAGCAGCGAGAGAAAGGAAATTACTTAACATTTGATGATAATATATACAAAGTGAAATCATGTTATTTGAAACATTTCACAGTTAAATACCCATACCTGGTCCTTGAAGAACAAGTCATTGGCAATGTGAACAATCTTCTCTATGTGGATGATGCTGCCAACGCTTTGAATGTCCACATCAGCCAGCATTGTAAGTACCAGGATCCCTTCGACCAGCAGCTGCCTATATTCAGGCTGAGGCACACGGTTCAGCACCCTTTCCACATGTACCGCAAACTTAATCTCACCCGGGGTCATCTGGAGAGACGGAGAGATAAAGCGGTTTACAGAAAGCAATGAGAGGAACTTGTGAAATGATTTTTAAAACACTTTAATTGGTCCTAGACCTCTCTTGTGGTAGAAGATGGGAGCACAAAGCCTTCTATTGAAAGGCCATGACACTGTGGGCAAAAAGACAAACAAACAATAAAATGAATATATTCCACTATTTTGCATAAAAATATTTTGCTATGCGTTTAACGATCTATTTCATGTTATTGACATACTGTTCATTCTAATTAGCTGATTTGGACAAGAAACATTTATTATTATTATCAATGATAAAAAAGATGTGCTGCATTATATTTTTGTGAAAACCATGATGCATTTCTATGAAGTAGAAATCTTTTGTAAGAACATATGTGACCCTGGAGCACAAAACCAGTCTTAAGTTGCTGGGGTATATTTGTTGAGTCTCTTTAAGCACCTGGACTAAACCACTGTAGTCAATGCCACCATGAGTGTCCAGTGGCAGGTTACACTCAGAGGAAAAGGGCTCCTCTGGACTCTACAGAGATCAATGAAACATCAAAGAGTTTCCAGTCATCTCAGTTTTGCATTATTAAAAGTTCCTTTGTGTGTGTGCATATACACACATGACTCGTGAGTGGTCCCTTGAAATCTTTTAGATTAAGCGCAGGCTGAGGGGAGTGGAAAAGCTTACTGGGAAGATACATGTGCACATCTGAAAAATAGACAAGGAACAGAAAAAGTATATGTATACAGACAAATAGTGTACTCTTTGCTTTGTTAGACAGATGTCTAATTGATTTAATTGACTGGTTGTTATTAAACTACAGTTGTACAGTTATAGTTTGATAGTTCACCCAAAAATGTACTACTTTATTTCCTCTGTGAACATAAGATATTGTGGAAGACAAGAAGACATTAAGGAATATATTGTTTTTTGTCTATATAACAGGGTTTGAACACATTTTTACCAATGAATTTCCATGACTTTTCCCTGACGTTTCCATGACATTTGAGACAATATTCATGACCTAATGTTCCATTATTTTACAAGTATACATGTAAAATAAGAATACAAATCTCTGCTCAAATTTATCATGTTAACTAAAATTAATGACTATTAATGCTGTGTTTGCTTTCTATTTGTTTTAATAAGTACAAGCTGTGACTATGCCAGACGTTACTCCACGCAGAGAATGTATCACATCACTGAATATTGTTCAACCAATATTATCAATTAGACTCAGCATTTAATTTTGAAAACTGTTTAGGTATAACAGTAGTAGGCTATTCAAGTACAGAAATATAAAAGCAATTGGTTTCCAAATCCTTTAAATTAGTTACAAAAGTGATTCAGTCAAGAGTAGTACTGCCCACACTCAGCCCACAGTGTGAATATACTGTGGACATGTTATGGGCCCACTTTGCTTTGAGTGGGCCAGCCCACACTTTGGGCTGTCCCACTAGGGCCCCACACATGCCCCGCATTTCACGCCAATATTAGGGTCCACAGAGGACTGCCTGTGTGGGCTAGATTTTCTGCCCACAGTGGGCCCACACGCCACGGGCCCCAAAGGGGCATGTTTGCTGGGGTAGTGATTGTCTCTTTGTCTTTTATTGTTTGATTAACATTAATGACAGGCAGCACAGCTTTATTAGGCTGCTGACACAAGACCGAATACACGGATCCAATATACTGATACACATGCGTTTTCTCTCTCAACTGTTGACATTCACTTAAAACAAAACCGACTGCGTTTATGAGGATACTTGCCAGGACAGACATTTTGACATCATTTTGTGTGTATTTGGCTGCTTAAGCTCATTAATCTGTGAAAAATAACTCAATTTGATATTTGCGAGGTGTTTGCGAAGCGGCTTTATGTCCACACACTTTGGATGTGACTGTGAACCCACAGAAAACAGTCTCTGGAGCGTGCGAGTACCGAATGGTTTAAAAAGACTTAGAAAGACTTAAAAGATGTGCAAATGATACACTTTTGTGATGATGCAACAGTGACCCAATTATACAACTGTCCCGAAACACGAGCGAAAGTCTTGTATTGCAGCGTGCAGCAGCTCTTTTATAGTGCAGACGAGATGCGCTGATGTGAAGCCATTTTGAGAGAGTGAGTGAGTGAGTGTGAGAGAGAGAGAGAAAGAGAGAGAAGGCGGGGTACAGCTAAATCACTCAGGCTGTTTTCAAATGACTAATTTGATCTGATATTCTATGTGGATTTATTAACTCATCTAACCTACATGCTATATTGAGTAAATGTTTATGGGAATGTACCACATTATAAACTTGTTGGACTTGAAGCAGCACTGCACAGACCATTCTGTGACATCAAAGTACAGCGAGAGCGATTAGACAGCATTTTTTTTTATTTTTGTTTTGATGTCAAATAAGTCTTGCTGTTTTGCTTTTTTGTTAAAGCAGTGTTGCTGTTGTAAAGTTATACAGCTACAGTTGTGTTGCTGGGTTTTAAAGGAAGTTTGATTTTTTTTTCTTTCTTACTTATCACGTCTGTATTTACAGCAATTTCACTGTCCACTCTGTTCAAATGTGGATGAATGGTTACACATAGATGTGTCCAGAGCTGTGTGAGATCACTACCATCCCGCTTTCTGCTTTTTTGTTTTTTCCCCATAGGTTTTTAATATTCTAAAAGCTCTTTATTCCAAAGATACTACAAGCTAGTCAGTGTATTCAGTAGGTGTAATGTATTGTAAGTTACTTCAGAGGTATTGCAAGTATTAAATACAACAATAATAAAACAGTGCATTGACATAAAAACGGAAATTTACTTTTGGTACTTAAGTATTTTTAAAAGCAAGTACTTCTGTACTTTTACAAAAAAGTTTGAAAAATCTGTCTTTACAACTTTTACTTGTAATGGAGTAATATTTGACCAGCATAATCTGTACTTTCACTTAAGTAATGGAGTTGTGTACTTTGTCCCCCTCTAAATTCATTGTTGATCATCTCTCATCTTTTTAAGTGGGAGAACTTGCACAATTGGTGGCTGACTAAATACTTTTTTGCCCCACTGTACATATGCAAAATATATAATGTAATAGGTATTGATAAGAAAATATTTTAAAAAAGAATGTATGTATATGACAGAAGAGAACAGACAAGCAGTGCAGTAAGCATCCAATGCTTTATGTGCTAATGATATTCTAACTCTCTATTAACTTGGTTTTAAGCATGTAGGGTACAAATTTCCTTAAATCTTCATCATATTTATTCAAATTTACATCATATTAACTCATATTTCCAAAACACTCATATTGCCAGAATGAGACTGGTTAAACAGAAATTCTGAATGGTTTTACCTGCTCTGGACTGTTGATAAAGATGCCATCCAATATCAGGTAGGTCCAGAAAAGTGGCCACTCACATTCAATGTTTTCAAAAAGCTTCAGCTCAGCAGATTCATAGTACAGCCTGTTGGGGTCCTATTGTGAAAAGAGGTCAAGTATTTAAAAAAAAATATGATCAATTTAGTTTATTACAGACATAATTAGACACATTTAACAGGTACAGTACACATCCACATATTTCTGTAATAATTATTAATACTAGATGTAAAACTATATGTATTTGTTTCTACACATTCTAAAGTATTTGTATAATTAAAAAAATATCCAATACAATTAATGTATAGCACAATGTGTCTGTGTGTTGGCTATACTGACCTCTTTAGGAGTTTTGTGGCCATCTCTAAGAAAACGACAACAGCCATATCTTCCCTACAGACAAAAAGGGATTCATGTAACAAATATAAACCACCATAGAGTGAGAGACAGACAAGTTCCTCATGTCCGAGATCAAGTTCTGACCTGGAGCTTAGAGATGATTTCCTCCTTAGTGATATTGACTAACTCCATGTCTTCCACAGCAAAGGCTGGATATGAAATGATGGACAGGAGGCCAGCATCCACCTCTTTAGACATTGAAGCTCTGGGCAACATAGAGCTCAGAATGGACTGAGAGGAATATGTGGCAGTAAGGAGATGATCATTGTTTTGTTTTTTTAAATTCTAATAAGGTGATGGTGAAAAAAGTGCCTAAAAAAATCAGAGCACTAGAACTACTATAGCCTCACCTGGCAGTGCTGGATATCATCTGCTAAAACATGAACCACAGAGTCAGGTCCCCCTTTGGCTCCAAATAGATTCAAGTCATCTAGGGCTTCAAGTGCTGCCTGCAGTAACAAAGGGTCCATTCAGGGGCTTAGACAGAGTTTTGTCCTCACAATGTCACAACAAAGTCAATATTCATTCAGTGTGCACTGAAATCCAGGGCCACAGACAACAAATTCAGCTACGACAATTGAATTTTGACAGATTTTCTAAATTCAAACCAGTACATTGTATTAAAACCAGGTTAAGGGCTAGTTCCCTAACTTTATAATGGTGCTCAGTCTTCTTGGACAGAGAAAGAACAACAAGAACCCTTCTGTTCTGAGCAAAGTGTCACAATCAGGGGGGGGGGAAAAAGAAATGACAAGCTGACAGGGAAAGCTGGGAAGGAACACTAATACCACAGAGTTCATGTTGAGGTTACATTGGGTCACGTTAATATGCGGTGTTCATGAGTGCACGGCATGAACAATCCCCTCCCCATCATGCCAGTCTCAGAATTCTCAGCTGCTCAGAAGAGGACTGACTGTCTATTTTGTTTCATCACACTCACTTTAGCCATCCCTATTGAGCTGGCATTGAGTTCAGGGATCCCCTGATTGGTTTTGTCTCCTCTCTCCCACATCCCATAGTCCTGAACAATCACAGGAGAAAATGCCAGTTACAGAGAGTGGCTTTTTAATAACAATTGCAGACTAAAATGTGAAAAACATACAAACATATACAAATACATAAGGCCTATATGATCGATACTGAGAGACTTACAGCCACTTTGTATGCAGATTCAGTGTAAAACAGCAGATTTTGGACCACATCCACCTCGTCCTGAGTGTACACAATGTGCAGCCCTAAAAGGACACAAGACATGGCAAAGGATATGTGGGAGAAGATCTACTAATGCTAGGCTCAGTACACAAAGTATCCAATCAGATTCCAGGATTTCTGAACAAAAGTTTTATAGGTTTGGAATGACAGAATTCTTCAACCACTGCAAAAAAAAAAAAAATAATAAACATTTTGCACTTATTTGAACACTCTTATAATTAGAGCTCACGACCGGTCACAAACTACAAGCGCTATCTTTATCATTTATTACTTGTGCAGGCCTACTAAAGACTGTAAAATGTGGACAAAAAGAGATTCTACTGTTTTAGAGGGGAAAAAAAGAAAGCTTGTACACTTTTAGAGGAAGAACCGAGTACTCTTAAGAGTCTCAGGTGTCTTGATGTGTCTTAAGTCATGTTATGCAAGCTCTAAAGGGAGACCTGGAGTACCTGAGGCAGTCATCTGAGCCAGGAAGAGGAGATAGAGTGAGGTAGCGTCAAGCTGGAGATGCCCCCATTCCCTGTCACCCACCACAGTGGCACAGGTCTGAGTGTTGTATTTGGCATGGAGGCTGTCCAAAGTGCTCTTACTGTATTTGAACTTCTCCACTTTGTCCATCTGCAGTGAAATGTGAGAGGACAAGAGATAGCACTACAGAGCACAAAAGAGCACTTCAGACAATATCTAATGGACAAAATGGTAATATGTGTTATGCACAATTGAACGGTGTATGAGACTGATAGATTGCATAACCATGTATGTGCATTTGTATATTTGTGTGTACAACTTTATGTACACTACAGTTCAGTAGTTTGTGGCATGTAAGCTTTTTTGTAATGTTTCTGAAAGTCTCTTTATGCTCACCAAGGCTGCATTTATCTGATAAAAAAAATACAAACAGTAATATTGTGAAATAGGCTATTATTACAATTTAAAATAACCATTTTAGATTTTAATATACTTTCAAAAATAATGTATTTCTGTGATGGCAAAGCTGATTTTTCAGCAGCATTACTCTACAGTCGTGGCCAAAAGTTTTGGCAGTGACATAAATTTTGTGTTTTGCAAAGTTTGCTGCATCAGTATTTGTAGATTGTTTTTCCACAAGTGTCTATGGTATACTGAAAAACAATGATAAGCATATCATAAGGTTTAAAGGCCTTTATTGGCAAAAAACAAATACAATGAGTATATATTTACAGTGTTGACCCTTGTTCTTCAAAACCTCTGCAATTCACTCTGGCATGCTGGATATTAGCTTCTGGGCCAAATCCTGACTGATGGCGATCCATTCTTGCCTTATTAGTAGCTAGTTATTAACAGTCGGAAGGGAGCTTCATCAGAGAAAATAACTTTGCACCAGTCTTCTGCTGTCCGATCCTTGTACTTCCTGCAGAATTTCAGTCTGTCCTTGAGGTTTTTCTTGGAGAGAAGTGGCTTCTTTGCTGCCCTTCTTGACACCAGGCTGTTGTCCAAAAGTCTTGGCCTTACTGTGTGTACAGATACTCTCACACCAACCTGCTGCCATTCCTGAGCAAGTATTGCACTGCTGGTGACATGATTCTGTAGCGGACTCCTCAGGAGGAGACCGTCCTGGCACTTGCTGGACACTCTGGGATGTCCTGAAGACTTCTTCACTGCAGTTGAACCTCTCTCCTTGAAGTTCTTGATGATCCGGTAAATGGTTCTTTCAGATGCAATATTCTTTGTAGCAGTTTCCTTGCATGTGATTGTGAGGCAATTTTGATGCAAAGCGATGATGGCTGCACGTGTTTCTTTGGAGGTAACCATTGCTAACAAGAACACAATGATTGGAAGCGCTTCTTGCCTCCTTTTATAGCAATCAGTCTGCTCTTACAATCTAATTAGTATGATAGCGATTAACCTGACTAATACTCATTCACACTTTCACATGTGCTGCTGATATGATTAGTCAATTAAAGGGGTCATATGATGCGATTTCAATTTTTCCTTTCTCTTTGGAGTGTTACAAGCTCTTGGTGCATAAAGAAGATGTGTAAGTGTCACAATCAGGGGGGGGGGAAAAAGAAATGACAAGCTGACAGGGAAAGCTGGGAAGGAACACTAATACCACAGAGTTCATGTTGAGGTTACATTGGGTCACGTTAATATGCGGTGTTCATGAGTGCACGGCATGAACAATCCCCTCCCCATCATGCCAGTCTCAGAATTCTCAGCTGCTCAGAAGAGGACTGACTGTCTATTTTGTTTCATCACACTCACTTTAGCCATCCCTATTGAGCTGGCATTGAGTTCAGGGATCCCCTGATTGGTTTTGTCTCCTCTCTCCCACATCCCATAGTCCTGAACAATCACAGGAGAAAATGCCAGTTACAGAGAGTGGCTTTTTAATAACAATTGCAGACTAAAATGTGAAAAACATACAAACATATACAAATACATAAGGCCTATATGATCGATACTGAGAGACTTACAGCCACTTTGTATGCAGATTCAGTGTAAAACAGCAGATTTTGGACCACATCCACCTCGTCCTGAGTGTACACAATGTGCAGCCCTAAAAGGACACAAGACATGGCAAAGGATATGTGGGAGAAGATCTACTAATGCTAGGCTCAGTACACAAAGTATCCAATCAGATTCCAGGATTTCTGAACAAAAGTTTTATAGGTTTGGAATGACAGAATTCTTCAACCACTGCAAAAAAAAAAAAAATAATAAACATTTTGCACTTATTTGAACACTCTTATAATTAGAGCTCACGACCGGTCACAAACTACAAGCGCTATCTTTATCATTTATTACTTGTGCAGGCCTACTAAAGACTGTAAAATGTGGACAAAAAGAGATTCTACTGTTTTAGAGGGGAAAAAAAGAAAGCTTGTACACTTTTAGAGGAAGAACCGAGTACTCTTAAGAGTCTCAGGTGTCTTGATGTGTCTTAAGTCATGTTATGCAAGCTCTAAAGGGAGACCTGGAGTACCTGAGGCAGTCATCTGAGCCAGGAAGAGGAGATAGAGTGAGGTAGCGTCAAGCTGGAGATGCCCCCATTCCCTGTCACCCACCACAGTGGCACAGGTCTGAGTGTTGTATTTGGCATGGAGGCTGTCCAAAGTGCTCTTACTGTATTTGAACTTCTCCACTTTGTCCATCTGCAGTGAAATGTGAGAGGACAAGAGATAGCACTACAGAGCACAAAAGAGCACTTCAGACAATATCTAATGGACAAAATGGTAATATGTGTTATGCACAATTGAACGGTGTATGAGACTGATAGATTGCATAACCATGTATGTGCATTTGTATATTTGTGTGTACAACTTTATGTACACTACAGTTCAGTAGTTTGTGGCATGTAAGCTTTTTTGTAATGTTTCTGAAAGTCTCTTTATGCTCACCAAGGCTGCATTTATCTGATAAAAAAAATACAAACAGTAATATTGTGAAATAGGCTATTATTACAATTTAAAATAACCATTTTAGATTTTAATATACTTTCAAAAATAATGTATTTCTGTGATGGCAAAGCTGATTTTTCAGCAGCATTACTCTACAGTCGTGGCCAAAAGTTTTGGCAGTGACATAAATTTTGTGTTTTGCAAAGTTTGCTGCATCAGTATTTGTAGATTGTTTTTCCACAAGTGTCTATGGTATACTGAAAAACAATGATAAGCATATCATAAGGTTTAAAGGCCTTTATTGGCAAAAAACAAATACAATGAGTATATATTTACAGTGTTGACCCTTGTTCTTCAAAACCTCTGCAATTCACTCTGGCATGCTGGATATTAGCTTCTGGGCCAAATCCTGACTGATGGCGATCCATTCTTGCCTTATTAGTAGCTAGTTATTAACAGTCGGAAGGGAGCTTCATCAGAGAAAATAACTTTGCACCAGTCTTCTGCTGTCCGATCCTTGTACTTCCTGCAGAATTTCAGTCTGTCCTTGAGGTTTTTCTTGGAGAGAAGTGGCTTCTTTGCTGCCCTTCTTGACACCAGGCTGTTGTCCAAAAGTCTTGGCCTTACTGTGTGTACAGATACTCTCACACCAACCTGCTGCCATTCCTGAGCAAGTATTGCACTGCTGGTGACATGATTCTGTAGCGGACTCCTCAGGAGGAGACCGTCCTGGCACTTGCTGGACACTCTGGGATGTCCTGAAGACTTCTTCACTGCAGTTGAACCTCTCTCCTTGAAGTTCTTGATGATCCGGTAAATGGTTCTTTCAGATGCAATATTCTTTGTAGCAGTTTCCTTGCATGTGATTGTGAGGCAATTTTGATGCAAAGCGATGATGGCTGCACGTGTTTCTTTGGAGGTAACCATTGCTAACAAGAACACAATGATTGGAAGCGCTTCTTGCCTCCTTTTATAGCAATCAGTCTGCTCTTACAATCTAATTAGTATGATAGCGATTAACCTGACTAATACTCATTCACACTTTCACATGTGCTGCTGATATGATTAGTCAATTAAAGGGGTCATATGATGCGATTTCAATTTTTCCTTTCTCTTTGGAGTGTTACAAGCTCTTGGTGCATAAAGAAGATCTGTAAAGTTGCAAAGACTAAAGTCTCAAATCCAAAGAGATATTCTTTATAAAAATATAAAGTCAACCACGTCTACCTAAAACGGCTTGTTCTAACACGCCCCCACGTCTACGTCACAATGTGGGAAGATTAGCATAATGCCGCCCAAATGTTCACGCAAAGAAAGAAGGCGCAACTTTTATTCTCGCTGTTGCCGCCGCTGCCATGTTGTGGAGTCGCTGTATGTTTCGTTGTGAAAGCGAAACTACTTTGTTTGGCCTTCCAAAAGAGGACACGTGGCACAAAGGCTGTTTCTATAAAGTGGGGCAGGTCCAACTTTGCTAGGACAGTCTGACGCTTCTGACTCACAGTCTGCAAGTTAATTTTTTATATGTAAATAATTTGCCACTTACGATTCAAACGCGAGTTTTGAGCAGTGTAGAGTAGTGCTTGTTGTTTGTCATTTCTCCGATCACAAATGCAGACGTGGTTTTGTTTACACAGCGCGATACGCAATGCAACGTGTAAAAAGACAGTATAAGTCATTATAATCCGTAATTATGCCCCCACTGGATGCAACAAATGCCTTGTTTATAATGGGTTTTAATGTTTTTGTCTCGTCGCTCCGGCTGGACAGGGCATCACAGTATGGTAAGGGGCGTAACATTTCGGTCACACGCTTGAGGCATTCGGCCAATCACAACACACTGGATAGCTGGCCAATCAGAGCACACCTCGCTTTTTCAGACCGATGAGCTTTGTAAAAATCGACGCGTTTCAGAAAGGCGGGGCATAGAGGAGCAACAATAATGTACATTATATGGAAAATAATGTGTTTTTTTAACCTTAAACCGCATAAACACATTGCATTACACCAAATACACAAAATAATATTATTTTTAGCAACGCCATATGACCCCTTTAATGTTAGCTGGTCATTTTGTGTCAGGATCAAAAAACAGTGAAATTTGTTGTTTTTGTGAAAAGTTCATTTTTTTGACCAATGAAGCTTTTAGCAATTATTTAGAATGCATCTGATCACTCTTTTGGCCATGACTGTACGCTTCAGTGTCACATGATCCTTCAGAAATCATTCCAATATGTTGATTTGGTGCTCAAGAAACATTTCTTATTATCATCAATGTTAAAAATAGGTAACTGCATTATATTTTTGTGTAAACCAAAATACCTATTTTCAGGATTCTTTAACAAATTTCAAAAGAATAGCATTTCTTCGAAATAAAATAAAATACTGAATAAAAGTATAAACTTCTTTTTTTTTTTTTTTTATCTTACTGACTCCAAACTTTAGAATGGTAGTGTATGCATGCATGTTTGTTAGCTTACAGCCTAATTTACCTAATTTATGGTAAATAAACCGTGAATAAAAATGGAAAGTGCTATCAATGCATGTTTTGGAACGTACAGACAGGTCTGGCTGTTGAATATCTATCTGCTGTATCTTTTTTACTTGTTGAGCATGTAGTGTGGTTAATGTTAATGGCGGGTGGTACCTGTCGCATGATGCACTGAAGAATTCCCCTCATCAACTTCACCACACTCTGAAAGAAGAAAAAAGAGATCAAGACAAACAGACTGCCTCCAAAACAACACTTGGAACACAGGCTCAACTGTGACCTTTCAGCTCTTCATTTAATAGCACAGACATGAGTAACATAACACTTCTGAGCCACTGTAAAGAGACCGCTTAGATACACTGATACATACACACGCAGTCATGAAAAGTCAACTGACCTTTCTTTAAAAAACACATGCATGGAAGTAAAATAATACAATCCACTGGTGAATATTTTGGTACGGCTTCTGATGTTGCTGTTACCAAACAGTTGCCACATGCGCTCATGTGATTAAAAATATTCGTCCAGCAGACCATACTGAGTCTGTGGGTTCTTTCTGGGTTCTACAACATGTACGTTCTCATGAACAAATGTTGTTACTGAATAAATATCTTAAACGCTGTACTGGATTAATAGGCTTACTCAATCAGTTCATCCTGTGAACATTCATTCAGGTAACGAACAGATTCCTCAGGTCACAGAATCAATACCAATGCACTGCAAAAAAAATTTAAAAATCCCCATCTCAGTTTGTACCTGCTCAAGCTCATAGGCTTTAGCCTTGTCTTCATCACGGTCTGCGTTCTTCCTGTAAGCCAAACTGAGGGCCCAGACAGACAGGATGCTGTAGACATTGTCCCTCACCCAGGCATCAGGCTGCTCTTGGCTTGCTGGTAACAGACCTGTCACTGGGTCCTACAAGTTACCAATACAGCTAGTTAAAAATGCCCAGTGCATCAGGTAATACACTATATGTATAATTAATATGCAAGCATTATTTTTTCCATAAAAAAACACAAACACACATACTAATATATATGTATATGTAATCTACCGTTCAAAAGCTTGAGGTCAGCAAGAAATAAATTAAATATTCATATTAGAGAATAATATTAGAATGATTTCTGAAGGATCATGTCACACTGAAGACTGGAGTAATGACGCTGAAAATTAAGCTTTGTCCTCACAGGATTAAATGATATTTCGAAATATATCAAAATGGAAAAAAAAAACAGTTATTTTAAATTGTAATAGTATTTCATAACATTCCCTGTTTTATTGTAGTTTTGATCAAATAAATGCTGCATTGGTGAGCATTAGAGACTTTTAAAATATTTTTAAACAGGACTGTATACACCTGCGTCAGAAATTATATTTGAATTTATTTTCATGGGTATTTTTCCTTTGTGAAGGTATATTATTTTATCCAACATAAAAGCACGCAACATGTATTTTACTGAAGTGAAATACTTTAAATTAATTTAGAATAAAACAGTTAATAATTAAATACACTATCACAGATACATTACTAACTAAAAATGAATTGGAAATCATTTTTTTCACTTTTGGTGGCAAAAGCCCTGGTCAAATTCTGCCCCTGATATAGCATACACATGTAGACTTTCATTTGTACTTTTTATACATTAAAGGAGTGTGTTTTTAACACAACACTAAACTGCATACTCTTCTGTGGCAGATCAAAATATCTACATTTAAAGAATGAAGGCATGTTTAGTGAAAACACAAACTGTTTAGTCCGTGTAGAAATGCAAACACTCACTTGGTGACGCAGTATAGTCTGATGAACTATCCGCGCGTAGTTGTCAAGTTTAACTCCAGAATTGCTGCGACTCCTCATTTTAGTTCCTATAAAGTTTGCGAAAAACCTTTATGCTTCAAAAACCGCCAACATCCTCCTGCAATAAACCAACACGGACATTAAGAAGAGGAGGGGTGTTTACAATACGTGCTTTTTGTCGAGAACGCTTGCATAGATTCAGTGAATATAAACAAACCTGAACACTTAAGGGCAAAATCCGGAAGGAAAGGAACTGCCTCTTGCACACTCGCGCTTACAGGCAGCTGGGAGGATCTTCCGACTTTTCAAAATAACACCGGTGAGCTCAAGTTATGTAAAGTCGAATACATTTATAGCGACAAACTTTTTTTAAGGAACTAGTCTGAAACGTTTAGGGAGTAAGGTCGTAAAAACGTTCACCTCAAAGATTTTTAGACATCTTGTGAAAACAGAGAGGACATCGCGTTCCTGAAGTCATGAAGGACCTGCGTTCACAAGATTCGACTCATTTTTATTTTACCGTTCAAGAACGAGAGTTAATTCACAATGAAACTGCGATTTAAAACTGAACTGATGCTAGAAGATACAAGAGAAAAGAAAATTGAATGTATAAAATACTTAAAATCCCTTGTTAACTCATTTGAATGAATCATCCCCCTGATCATTTGTTTTACTTAATATATTTATTTGGGGTAGTTGGTTATTTTCTTGCTATTATGATTGTAACAGTGTTGGGGAAAGTTACTTTTTAAAAGTAATGCATTACAATATTGCGTTACTCCATAAAAAAGTAACGAATCACGGTACTTAGTTACTTTTTATGGCAAGTAATGCGTTACGTTACTTTTGCGTTACTTTTTATATCTGGACAGGGCTTGCTTGTTTGTTTTTAAAATAAAAAAGTTATATTTTTGGCAAATATAAAAGCCGTTTCACACCAAAAGTGAAACGAATAAGCCTCAGGCTGAAGGGAAAGTCAATTTACGTCCGTACAGTAGAATGCAGAAATTTCAACACACTTCAGCAATGAAAAAAACACACAAATGTTTGTCTAGAGTCATTTTTGCTTATTAGTACGCTTGAACTGGATCATCGAAGGTCAGAAGCGAAGACATTGGTTAATAGAATGGGATTAAATACATAAAGGATATTTGTGTTGTTTAACATTTAATTATTCCAGGTTTGCGTCATTTTCTGAGTTGCGTTATTTGTATTCATTTTGAGGAATACTGAATCTGTGTGTTTTTTGTGTGAGTGAGATTAATTAATGCATATTCATATTTATTTTAGAACTACAGCAACATGGGGACAGGAGAGCTGTCAATCAATAAATTGGGGCAAAAAAGAGTAACTGGCGTTCCTTATTTGAAAAAGTAACTCAGATATTCTCTTGTAAATTAAAAAGTAATGCGTTACTTTACAAGTTACTTGAAAAAGTAATCTGATTACGTAACTTGTAATATATTACCCCCAACACTGACAGTAAGTACACTTTGTAAAACATCAGTATAATTCTTTGTTGGTTTTCTTGTTTTGGGAAAAAATACAAACATTGTTACAAACATTTAGACCAAAATTTTCTTTTGCACAAAACTCACCAAAAGCGCTGTATATTTACTTTTCTTTTTACATCTGTGATATCATAAAGATCTGTCTCGCGCACACACGTCCACTTAGTGGCAGCAGTCACAAATGTTTCAGTTCAAAACTGTAATTTACAAAACAAACATGCCACATCACCTTTAATATGATGCCATAAAACCCAGGTGGTAAAAAGAAAGCCACATGACAAAACAAAGTTCATCACAAGTAGCATTATATACTAATATATAGAAGGTGTACAATGATGTACACACAAGTACAAAACACCATCATGGTAACACTAAAATAATGCAATAGACATTCAACAACATGAATTGTAACATAAAACCCTAATATACATAACTGATAACAAAAAAATAGTAAGAGAACTTACCGTTAACCAATTAAAAGTTTAGCATTTTACAATCTTTAACAGTTCAATTTAAAATTATTTTGACAGAAAACATCATATTTTCCAGTGCTCCTCATGTATGGGTGTTTAGCACTTACACAATCAGGAGAAATGACACTGATCACTACTTAACTTTGGTTCTGTGAATTCCAGAGTTCTTTGTCACTCAGAATGTACGCGTGAACAGCACACCGAGGCTGAGTGCTGAGCTGCTGCTCATAATCCTCAACACGTCACCATATGACTTCATGTCGTGATCTTCATATCTCTTCATCTGTCTGACAACAAAACTGTCAATGATAAAATGCCAAAAAAGAATTGCCATTTGAAAAGTGTCATTTTTCTTTTGCTCTGTTTATTATCATTTCAGAATCACTGATTTATATGTCTCTGAATGTTAGTCCCCAGTCTGCACTGCACATGCTTGGCTAACCTCTGTGAGGTCTGCCATATCAGCCAAATAGCTGCTGTGTGCAGCTAACCTTGAGAAACCCTGATCACACTGCAGAGGCTTGCATGACAAATCTGTAACAGTGATTGACGTCCAGCTATTCAGGCCAAATTCACAAATGTTTACATTTTTTAAATGCACTAGAATTAAGTTTTTCCTGGAACTGCAGCTGAGAAATATGCTGGCAAAACTGCACTGAACTGTGCAACTGTAAATGCAACAAATGGAGTTCATGACATAAAAGCCTTTTTCTCTGAACATGTTTTTATTTTAGAACCCCAAAGTTCAATCAGATGAGAGTTACAGTACAGTAAATATAACTTATAAATCGTATATTGATATATAGTCAGATACATAAAAAAGAGCTTTAAATGAACTGTTGAGTCATACAAAATGAAAAGAGTTTTAAAATAAAAAAGTTATATTTTTGGCAAATATAAAAGCCGTTTCACACCAAAAGTGAAACGAATAAGCCTCAGGCTGAAGGGAAAGTCAATTTACGTCCGTACAGTAGAATGCAGAAATTTCAACACACTTCAGCAATGAAAAAAACACACAAATGTTTGTCTAGAGTCATTTTTGCTTATTAGTACGCTTGAACTGGATCATCGAAGGTCAGAAGCGAAGACATTGGTTAATAGAATGGGATTAAATACATAAAGGATATTTGTGTTGTTTAACATTTAATTATTCCAGGTTTGCGTCATTTTCTGAGTTGCGTTATTTGTATTCATTTTGAGGAATACTGAATCTGTGTGTTTTTTGTGTGAGTGAGATGAATTAATGCATATTCATATTTATTTTAGAACTACAGCAACATGGGGACAGGAGAGCTGTCAATCAATAAATTGGGGCAAAAAAGAGTAACTGGCGTTCCTTATTTGAAAAAGTAACTCAGATATTCTCTTGTAAATTAAAAAGTAATGCGTTACTTTACAAGTTACTTGAAAAAGTAATCTGATTACGTAACTTGTAATATATTACCCCCAACACTGACAGTAAGTACACTTTGTAAAACATCAGTATAATTCTTTGTTGGTTTTCTTGTTTTGGGAAAAAATACAAACATTTAGACCAAAATTTTCTTTTGCACAAAACTCACCAAAAGCGCTGTATATTTACTTTTCTTTTTACATCTGTGATATCATAAAGATCTGTCTCGCGCACACACGTCCACTTAGTGGCAGCAGTCACAAATGTTTCAGTTCAAAACTGTAATTTACAAAACAAACATGCCACATCACCTTTAATATGATGCCATAAAACCCAGGTGGTAAAAAGAAAGCCACATGACAAAACAAAGTAGGTGTACAATGATGTACATACAAATACAAAACACCATCATGGTAACACTAAAATAATGCAATAGACATTCAACAACATGAATTGTAACATAAAACCCTAATATACATAACTGATAACAAAAAAATAGTAAGAGAACTTACCGTTAACCAATTAAAAGTTTAGCATTTTACAATCTTTAACAGTTCAATTTAAAATTATTTTGACAGAAAACATCATATTTTCCAGTGCTCCTCATGTATGGGTGTTTAGCACTTACACAATCAGGAGAAATGACACTGATCACTACTTAACTTTGGTTCTGTGAATTCCAGAGTTCTTTGTCACTCAGAATGTACGCGTGAACAGCACACCGAGGCTGAGTGCTGAGCTGCTGCTCATAATCCTCAGCACGTCACCATATGACTTCATGTCGTGATCTTCATATCTCTTCATCTGTCTGACAACAAAACTGTCAATGATAAAATGCCAAAAAAGAATTGCCATTTGAAAAGTGTCATTTTTCTTTTGCTCTGTTTATTATCATTTCAGAATCACTGATTTATATGTCTCTGAATGTTAGTCCCCAGTCTGCACTGCACATGCTTGGCTAACCTCTGTGAGGTCTGCCATATCAGCCAAATAGCTGCTGTGTGCAGCTAACCTTGAGAAACCCTGATCACACTGCAGAGGCTTGCATGACAAATCTGTAACAGTGATTGACGTCCAGCTATTCAGGCCAAATTCACAAATGTTTACATTTTTTAAATGCACTAGAATTAAGTTTTTCCTGGAACTGCAGCTGAGAAATATGCTGGCAAAACTGCACTGAACTGTGCAACTGTAAATGCAACAAATGGAGTTCATGACATAAAAGCCTTTTTCTCTGAACATGTTTTTATTTTAGAACCCCAAAGTTCAATCAGATGAGAGTTACAGTACAGTAAATATAACTTATAAATCGTATATTGATATATAGTCAGATACATAAAAAAGAGCTTTAAATGAACTGTTGAGTCATACAAAATGAAAAGAGCAATACAATAAATAAGTAATCCCATATTGAAACGATGCTTGTAAATCCTGATCTATGAGATGAGGTGGAGACACTTGTATATAACAACATAAATAGTTACAGGTAAATGAGCCTTAAATTAAATAAAAACAAACGTGAGCACACAGACAAAGGCAAAGAACGGAGGCAAATGGTTAATAATATATAGGCACAATCAATAATGGCAAACTTTGCACTTTCTCTGTCCCTTTTTCTCCAGACTAGCTTTGGTTCAACGGCATTTGGGTTGAGCTAAGGCACTAGTAGACACATTTGCCTACACTTGCATATATAGCTTACAAGTAACATGATCTAATACTACACACCAGTTTCCATGTTTGGACTAAGCGTAGTCCTGCGATCAGCTGTTAGTGGCAAAAGCTATACTCTCTCTGTACTGCTCGATGGACATCCAGAACAGGGATTGGACTTAATCTGGTTCAGGGAAACTGGCCCAAAACACATACTGTATCACCTTCCCAATTCCACCTGAAATATGTCTATCAAAAATGTCATGCAAATCCCATTAATAATGCTTCTTGTATATAGCAATATCACTGCAGGTAGATTATGAGGTTTATGTTGATTTTCTTTGCACTCTCAAAATAGTCCACATGTTATGTACCTTATGATAAGCACAATCTTCAGAACTTTACCTATTGCTTCATTTGTGGCTTACTATACTATATGTCTAACTGATTATTAACTGCATTGCACATTCAGTTGCCTCCTGCTGCTCACTGAATCAAGCTTTCGTCATGCATGATGGTGTAGAAATGTCAGATCAGAGAAGGGAAGGAGTCTTCATTTTAGGAATTAATCGGTTGGCTGTAGGAACAGTGGCCTTTCCTGTGGAACAAAATTAAAATTGAGAATCAGTTCTTATATTTCTTGTTTCAAAGATATGTTTGAAAGTATTGTCAGTAGGACAAAAAACTTGATGCAAAAAAAAAAAAAAAGGATTCAAAAAATGCATTCACCTGCATATTCCTGTCGAGCACTCATAGTTGTTCTGGCAGTAGGCGCCATGAGGTTTAGTGCCCATGATCCTCCATAGTGGGGTCATACGAGCTGTTCTCTTTAGTGACATTTGAACTTTCTGTACAGAAGTTGAAGGTGTGTCTGACTTTGGCACAGGATTGCAGGTCACCTGAAACACGCAATGTGTCAGTCAGTTCTACACTCATGTAATATTAAATAAGTAATATCAGTTTAATAAAATAGCTAAAATTATACAACTGTTTCTGTATAGTTTATGTAAAGGATAAGAAAGAACAAGAGGAATGAGGGATAAACAAAAATGAATCATATTTTGGACATGTGCTCGTCACTTTTTAGAGTTCAGTGATGTTTTACCACAGTTTATTGAACTGTACATTTTAGACAGCTATGCAGTGGTATTTACTGATATAAAACATGCAGGTTTAAATGAGATGATATAAATCAGATTCTAAGGCTTCTGAATCAACATTTCCTTTTCTGTTTCCTTTGTTCCTTTGACATAGTTCTTCTGTCTCCATTTAATCATTTGAGGGCCTTGAAAAAGAACAATGGCTGATTGCAGGGTCTGCTGTGTTTTAATGAAGAAAAACCAATAGACAAAAAACAAAAGGGAAAAAAAGCTGTGACTAAGTCGCAGCGAAAATGGCAGCGGGTCAGACATGAGTCGAACACTGATCCAGCTCATCACAAAGGTTCCACACTGACTCATGGTGTTTACTGGTTATGATGCTGCTCATCATCATAGGATTGTCAGTTCACGTAAATAATACCCAGTACTATTTCATAAGCTGGTGGCCTTGTTTCCTGCATACTCACTTTATTGGTCATAGTATTGTGATAGAACTCAAGGTTAGGTTTATCAAGGTTCTGCCGAGAGGCGAACATGATTTGTTCAGATCAATGTTGGATCTAAATCTATATTGGTCAAGTGTTTAGTGAGGTCAAGCTTATCATACTGGTCACCTGACTACTTCACAATTTGAGGACTGACCTTTCTTCTATATGCTTGTGGTAGTTACACCACCGTTCAATTAATTGAACAGTAATTAATGCTTTTATTCAGAAAGGACATACTGCATTGATCAAAAGCGGCAGTTAAAACATTTATAATGTTATAAAAGTTTAACATTTCAAGTAAATGGCATTCTTTTCATCGAAGAATCCTACAAAAATGTACCATGGTTTTCACAAAAATATTAAGCAGTCCAACTGAAAATAACACTAAAATAATATGAAATATTCCTTGATTTATTTTGTATTGTGAATCATTTATTTTATATGACTTATTATTTTTTTGATACAGTGTGAGGGAAAAAACAAACAATGAAAAAAGACAAAAAGGTAGTAATGCTGAATAATAAAATAAATAAATATATGCTCATAATAATACATGAAAGTAAAACACTGAAATGTATAAGAAATGTTTCTTGAGCACCAAAATCAGCATACGCTCTGAACAAAAATGATTCTAAATAGCTCTAAAAGTTGTTCGTTAGCTTGTAATCATAGGGGAACCACTTTAAGTGCTGCATAGCACCTATCTTTAAAGGTGCAATACAGCACTATTGTCAAATGGTGCTATGTAGAACAATAAGAGGAACCCCATTCTTCTCCTTAGATTTTAGATATGTTACTCCACTCTCATATGTTTGCTATGAATGGAAATTTACTACATTGCAAAAGCTGTTTGGAATCACTTTTATGCTTTCCCGAGGTCATAAAGTCTCATGTGTGGGCCCTGGAATATTTCCTTATAGTGGGCCTTGGGGGCAAAAAGGTGGAGAACCACATTATCCTCAGGAAATACATGTCATTTTTTAATCCTTTCCCCAAATAAACTAGGAGTTTAAGAGCGAGTTAGAGAACCTTTAAAGAACTATACAGGGGTTTAATGTGTTCTTTATACAGAGTTTTTTTTTTTTGCATGTCCTATTAGAATGATTTCTGAAAGATCATGTGACACTGAAGACTGGAGTTATGATGCTGAAATATCAGCATTGCCATCACGGAAATAAATTGCATTGTAAAATATAGTCGGTTATTTTAAATTGTAATCACAATGTTACTGTTTTTTCCAGTATTTTTGAGCATAAGAGACTTTCAAAAACAAAAACAAAAACATTAAAAAGTCTTACCAACCCCAAACTTTGAACAGTCGTGTGAATTTAATATCTCTGAATGACTCGTTTTATTCACAAAGTCAGAAATGCTGGTTAGGACATTACTTGTATAGTCAAACCTGAGACACAAGGTGTGTGATTCAGGCCACTGAAAACATATACGTTGCAGTATTTGAAAGGTAAATCTAGCTTGACAAAAAGTAACCTTTGATACATTTAGCAGGGTTGGGTAATCAGCATTAAATGAGGTGAACAGAACCAACAATCAAGTGTTTTGATCAGAAAGCTTTTCTGTGCAATTCTACCAGGAATTCTGTTTCAAACTCCATCTGCACAGACGTGACTCCTCTCAGGGTCACTGTTAGTATCACTGGGGAAAAAAGGACTTTTGAATGGATTTACACGCACTAGCAGTTTGAAATACAAATAAAAATCACTTTACATAGATTTGATGAACAAACCCTGAAGGGTTTTTAGAGACAATTCTGTGTACTGAACAACAGATTATGGAGCAATACTGGAACATTATCGTTTGAGAAAGATGAGAAACTAAATTCCTTCCACCAGTTTTTAAGAAAACTTTTTAGGAGTTCAACTGCAGGGGAAGAACTACTGTATATCCATTACCCCAACAATCTCTCTATATCCTCCTGAGAACCATAAAAAAGTTTAGTTGAATTATTTTTTTTATGTCACTACATTGGTTGGAGCATAAGAAACAAATGAAGAAAAAAACATTTTTGAAAAACTATTTTATTCATATTTTAATCTGTGTCCTTTGTAGAAGACGTCAGGACTAAGTTATTCAAAAATAAGCAAATAAATAAATACATGAAAAGGCATGTATAGACAAAAACAATGGTTTATTTTTTTTCATTCACCAATCAGGTTTTGGGTTTCAGGTTATTTTTAACCAAACTTTGTACAAAGATGATTTTCAACTATGTTATGAAAGATATAACAGAATGATTTGATATACTATATTTCTTTATGCAATATGTGCATAAAATGTCCATAAATTGGTATTCCCATTCTATATAATGTATCTATACATTGCATCTAATTTGCATATTAATGTGTTCTTTGGGCAAATCATAATGAAAAAAGAGGTGTTACAATGGGAGTAATAACATGGCAACATTTTCATAAGAATATCTCATGTTTCATAGAAATATTGATCTATAATTTCTTTCCCTGTTGACTTGTTGTGTTTGCCTGATTAACATGATGTTTGTCCTGGTGTCCTCTACAGAAGACATGTATGAAAATTATGCCGTTTCATAACAAAAAAAGTCATATTCCGATTTGAAACCCTATACAATTTTTCTGAGATGTTTTTACGACAAACCATTTGAAAATTAGTCCGATTTAAATGATAATTACAAAATATTATCATAGTGCTAAATTTGATCATTCTATCAATATCAGCCATATGTAAAGACCAAGGAGAAGGTGTGTTTATGATCAAACCTCCAAACATTTGACATCCCTAAAAAGCGCTGAATGTGCTCTGTACAGGACATCCAGAACTGTGGCATGTAGGGTCTCCGAGAAATGTACTAAAATATAATGTCCTCTACAGAGGACAAAAGTCTATGCCTGAGTCCCAAGGATATGAATCAAATGATGGCAATTCATCAGGGTGTTCCTTCAGTACTCCAGGGTCAAGGACAGCAATTGCTGTCCCCATTTGGTGTGTTTGTCAGTTTTGGAACTCTGTCAAAAAATTGCAGACAAAGTACACCATCCCGTCGGGAACTGAGAAAATGATCAGTTGCCAAAGAGGAGAAAAGGGCCTCGGCAGATTCATCCAGTTATATTCCATCCAGTTTGTAGAATATAGTCTACCTGCACTTTGCAAAACATCTGTGGATCTGTGTAGGAAAGGGGCTGTAATTGTGACTCGTGTAGTTCAGATCTAACTTTTCTGCTCCTCTGTGACAGAAAAAAAGAGTGAAAAGGTGATTTAATTGGAGGTCAATCACATCATAAACAGATAACCTTTGTTGATATGCTTTTCTATTTGATAACATTATATGTAAAGGTAAGCCAGAACTATGACGTTTCCACTTCTTAAGGGCTCTTCTGATCGACAAAATATGACCAATACAGTTTGTTTTGCCTTTTTAGGAGTAGATAAATCTTTAATTGGTCTCAACATAAAGCAGAATCTTAAAAGGTATACAGACTTAGACTTATGAGGTTCCATTTGTGCCAAAAAGGAGTTGACTGCTTTGTACTATACATTTGTTCATGTCTACAATAATTTCGCACTTAAGATAAATTAATAAATTATGATGTGTATGTTCTTTGATTATGCCATCTTGTTCTGTCATTTATGGAAGGCTATTTCCAAAATATATGCCATTCTGTTTGTGCCAAAAACACAATCTGTTTGTTTCTAAAAAATATTATGTCAATGTATGAAGATGAAATGGCAACCTGTGAAGCTCTGGTGAGCTCCATGCCCAAGAGGGTTAAGGCAGTGCTGGAAAATAATTACATTTGGGCCCAATTTGGACATTTTCACTTAGGGGTGTACTCACTTTTGTGGCCAGCGGTTTAGACATTAATGGCTGTGTGTTGAGTTATTTTGAGGGGACAGTAAATTTACACTGTTATACAAGCTGTACACTCACTACTTTACATTGTAGCAAAGTGTCATTTCTTCATTGTTGTCACATGCAAAGATACAATAAAATATTTACAAAAACGTGAGGGGTGTACTCACTTCTGTGAGAGATATATATATACACAGTATGTAGCATTGACTACAATAAAACAATTCAAAGTCGTCAAAGGACTCAAGGAGCTCTAAATATCATCGAACTGCAAAGACCATTTTCCAATCTATACTCTCAAGTATATAATATACTGTATATTATATACTTCTTAATATAGACTGGAAATGGAACACTAGTGTAATCAAATGTGGATACTACAGTGACTGTTTTTACCAAATATTGATATTTTATTATTATATAAAGATTACACATAACTTATGCTGGTTTAACAATTCACTGCATCA